CCTGCCCCGCGGAAGCGCCTCCATGCGGGGCACACCTCGGCGTTTTAAACGTACAAATGGGAGGCACCGAGGCTGTTAGGCTCCCGTTGGGTCTTTAAAGACGCGCGTTCCTACAGGAAATTAAAACTTTCGTCGAATTTCCTCCGGGGGCGTATGCACTCTTCTGGTCTCTCCGCTCCAGGATTCTTTTTTTTCTTAATTTGTTTCTCATATGAACACGTAGTCCTCAGAAGCAAGAAGAAAGAGGTGGCATGTTTCTTTTTTCTTCTTCTTTTTTTCTTGCTATAAGCAACCCCATTTCTTGAGCTGAGTGCCTGTGCTTGAAAAGATGGCAAGATATGGTGGGGTTTTATTCACGTGAATAATCTGTGTGTGCATTTATACAAAAACAGTACTAAAATTCCGTTGTGGCCACCATCTTCCTAAGGGAATCGGCCCCTGGACATACACTTTCTAAGTGAGGGGTAAAGCCAGGAGGGCTGTCAGCAAACCTCATGTCCACACCAAAAAAAAATTGCAATTCTGTCAGGATTGTGCACAGCAACTGCCCTCCTCTTGTCCTCATCTTCCGAAAAAAAAATGGAGTAGAGCTGAACAAGCTGCTGTGTGACTTGGTCCTCAGCGCGCCCGGTGGGCAAAGCCTTGGAACACGGTTGTGAAGGCCAGACGAAAGCCGTGGGCACGCGAGCAAATCTTAGTGTCTCCGTGTGACTGGAGGTAAGAGCAGAGTTCCTCGCGGTCCAGCGGCGCTCTTCATCTTCACTTACCACTGACAGCACCGGAGATTTATAGACTACCAGAAAAAGACACACTGGAGAAAGCACAAGTTACTCTATAAACAGTTCCCTTCCCTCCTAAGAGCGAGGGCCTTTAGACGATGAGTGGAAGTGAGTAACAACTTCCACTGCAGGGCTGCGGAAAGCTGCCCTGCAGCAGCTTGGGGGGAAAGAAACCACGTGTGCTTCGGCTCCCGGAGTAGCTGCACCCTGCGCCTTTCTTCCACACGTGATGCAGCCAGAGCAGAAGCTCGTGAGAGCAGCACGTACCGCCCATCGCGCAGCGACCATTTTCTGTAGCAAGGAAGGACACACAGCGCAGCGAGACCCGTGTTGGCTCAGAGCCATAAGATCATTTGAAGCTCGATCCGGGCGCACAAATCCTGCCTAATCCCGGCACGTGCTTGGCCAGACTCCTTCCTTAGGCAGCTGCGTTTTGCCAGTACGTTTGCTCGCAGCCTCGCTTTGTTTTGCGTGTGTTTAGAATTGTTGCCATCTTGGTAAAACCAAGAGCGTCATACCCAAAACACATGAAAGCCTCCTGGAGTTCTCAGTCGAGATGTTCCTCCATGGAGATCTCCCACAGAGACCTGGTGAATTAGGTGCATTCGGGCCACACCTAACAAGGAATTACAAGGAATTAGTTTCTGCCATAACCAGGAACCAAGCAAACCTCTTAAGCTTGAAGGATGAAGGGCTTTTAAATCTATGTCACTCCTTCCAGGAAAATGCTTTAGCTCCCGGCTATAAGCTGATCTAAAGCTGAGACTATTCTACAGGGCTGTAGGTGCGACTGCTCTCCCCATTGAAGTTGTGTTTTGCAAACAGAATTAATAGGCTTTATGGAGGTGCACAACTTGCTGCTCTCATGAAGAGAAAGCTCATCCCAGGAGTGATGGA